AAAGCAGGCAAAAATCCAAACGCATTTGGGGGCCCCCAACAAGAAACCTTAATTTTTGGAAACTCCCGTGCAGGGGTCAGCTTATTGAGAAGCTCTTGTTAAGGCTTTAGAAACGGAATGCCGAGACTCGTCGAGTAGCTGCAAAGGCACTGTCCAGTGGGCACCGCACGCGCCCATGACCTGAGCTTGCTGGTTGGCCTTCAAGTAGGGAATGGAAAAGACAGCGGAAGGTACTGCACATTGGAGATTGCATGTGGATGCCTTCCTCCAGTCACTACGAACATCCAGCAAGAAATCTACTCGGGTCAGCTGTCTGTGGCTCTGGGTGGCGGAAAGTTTGGAGCGCAGAATTTTGGGATTGCAGAGGTCCGCTGTTCATGCCTTGCGGTTACAGTCCAGGGCCCGAAGGCAGCAAGAGGAAAGAGTAAAAAGAACACAAAGACCTTCGAACCACTACGGCCGTGCGTTGCTCGAACCTGTTGTCACAACTCTACTTCTTGATTTTCGCTGGCGCGAATTAGATAAGGCTGCAGATCTAATCTGCGACACTTCGAGAAGCCAAAACAAGAGTAGGCAATTGAATTTGTCAAACAGCATTCTTCTTGAAAATTAAATCAACTGTGAAATCTATAACTTGTGCTCCTCATGTACCCCTAGATTCCTTGAGGGTTCGCACCCCTGCTTCATCTTGATTGCTATTGAGTCCGGAACTCTAACGAAGTGTCCAGAATAATGAGACCACATCTTCACATGTCTCCACATTATGGTAACTGAATTTCAATTATTACTTAACAGCAACCCCCCTCATACACCCACAAAGCGTGCCAGGGCACCATGCTGTAGGACTTTGCAAGCCTCGTCAAAATAGACGAAATGTAGAGCTTAGGGGCTAGCGCTTTGGGATTGGGATGTCGGCAGGGTTAATGATTTAGGATTCAGGGCTTAAGGTTCAGGATGCCGGGTTTGAGGTAGGACTTGGATTTCAGGGTTGAGCATGTAGAGTTCAGGGTTTGCGATTCCGGGCTTTGGGCTTGGTGTTGGGCTAAGGATTTTAGGGTGTTGGACTGGCGAAGGCCCAGAGGGTTACCTTAAAACGAGGATCCCTAAGTAGGCTCAGCCGCATGGAGCTCCTTGTCTGAGACATTACAAGACCCCTGGATGTTACAATGTTAGTAATTAGTAAGTCTCCCAGATAAGGTATCAGAGTAGGAAGTTCACCCAAAAACTGCCATCCACGTTGCTTCGAGGGTCAGGGATTCTTTAAGCAGTCCTGCTACTTGCAGGATCATATGGGTTGTTGTCGAAATATTCCACTCTGAACCTTGTAGTTTGCTGGTAACCCCCAACTGTAGTCTGCGCAGGTATATCCCTAGACCCTCCTACCCTCTATTCGGGCCTAAGTACCTACTATTAGGGACCATATACCCCCAATTAAGGGTACAAGGAGGGTCCTGGGCCTAGGCTTTACGGCTTCGTGCTCGCCAGCCTTAGGGCTATACAACCCTTAAGTCGTAGGCTTGGGTCAAGGAAGTGTTTGGAAAAGTACGCATGGCTGCCCCTGCACAAGATGATACGCACCTTGTTCAGAAGTGGACTGTTGGAAGAGAGAATATGCCTACGGCTTCTGGACCTCAGCATGTTATCAGGTTCAACATTTACATGCCTACTATTCAGTGGACCAGACGCCAAACAAAACCCTATGTAGAACACAAAGTAATTAGACTACAGTCCTTAAACATCTCATCCTTGTTTGGATATGTGTGCATACGAAGAGGGGTTTCATCTGGGGCTATATTATAGAGGGGGCCACAGAGTTGAGAAGTACTGGAGCTTCCTGAGTATTCTTCTGCTCTGGGATACTCAAATTGCCTTTCGCAATAGCTGAAATTCTGGAAGGACACCCCATATTCAGCGCGCCTTTCGCGGGGAAACTTGTCGTCTGCCTTCACAGGGGCACACTGAACCGCGGCTCTGAAATTCATGTGCCAGTGAGGCTTCAAACTGGCCTAAATCACCGTTCGCACAATCGAAACTTGTTATGCTCTCGCGGACACGATAACGTTGACCCGTAAAGCGCAATTTTGAAACTAGCTTCAATCTCACAACACCTAGCCTCTGTCTTCAGGCGCTTCCCATGCCTCGAACTTACTCGGAAGGCCCCCTGGTGCTTTGTGGCAAGTCATCAGGCTGGTAACTACACTCTGCTGCCTACAGGCACTTGAAGCACAACTTGGTCTGGACGATGCGTTGAGGGAAGCAGGAGGGAGCATCAACCGAAAAGTATGAACTCAGAACTTAACGTCACGGCTTTGTTAGGTCAAAGCCCTCAACACTATGGAATTAAGACCTTACCAGAAAATGTGGAATGTGGAACCCAAGCTGGAATGCCTTTTCTGCATCTCCTGGCCAGATAGCCCCTTTACATAATCCAAAACAGACCCTGAAAACCCACATTGATCATTCGGAAAACCACGAATCCTCTGGAAAACCCAACCCCCAAGCTCTCAAATCCGAGGACCTTGAGACTTTAAGCCCGCTAACCCCAGAAACGCACCTCCAAAACGGCGATCAGCTGCAAAGCCGCTGCCCACCGTTTCGCACGCGCATGGGACGCCAGCTCCTCTGGCGCATGATCGTTAGTGTTCCGAATTTGCCTGTGGTCACTGCCCTGCACGTACTCAAAAAACTGCGAAGTGAGCTTCTGACCCAGAATTTGTAGGCTTTACACACCCCCTTGGCTCATCCCGAAATTCTCTCAAAAACGTCACTTGCGGCTGGTGAAGCCATTATCCACTCTCCGCTAACGCGCTGATGCCTAAAGCTCAAGATTCACCTGCCTCCCCATCAGACTATCAGAATGCTTGCCCTACTCATCATCTACCTTGTGACCATGTTTCTCCAGGTTTTGCACAATCATGCCCCTTTTCTTTGGCAGCCCCACACAAGAGTGAAACCCTTCTGGGACATTGTGACCAACACTTCCCTATACATCACGTATACACTCATCTCTGCCTCTTGCTATGTCTGTGGGGATTGTATGCGGCCCGTGAGAATTGTGCCTTTGCCGTCTCTGCAGCTGCGTGGAGGAAAGCCATGCAGACATGCTTATGAATTCTCCGAATCCATGTAAGGTTTAGGATCTAGGGCGTAGGGTCTAGTGAGTCTAATGTTTGAGGTGAAGGGTTTGGGGCTTAGGGTGCAGTCTTGCGGGTGGATGGCTGCTAATTGGAAGTGCAGTGGGTATGCAGCATGGCTACATTTAGGTTTCCATACCAAAGTCATGACATCTTTTGTTCAATTCAACTTCGCCCAACAGCTGCCAACACAGGAGCCAACAGCAAAAGGTCTTCGGCCTAAGAGCAAGTGATGTGGTAGTTTCCCAAAATGGGGGGATCCCAATATAGACCCCAAAATACTGTAGTCCTTGTTATGGGGACCCCAAAAAGGTACCCCTAATTTTGGGAAACCCCCATGTAGGTTCTAGGGCGATTGTGAAGTGCACAGCACTTCTAGGTGGGCAAGCCAGCTGAACCTAGATCGGAACTTCTTATTTGCAGGGACCCTGAAACCTACACTATGGGAAATGGCTACAATGGCAGGAACTCAGATAAGAGGCCTATTTCTGGCGTGGGCATAATTCCAGTTAGAGCGCGCCATGCATTTCTACAACCAAAAATGCCTCAGGTGCAGGTCGTAGCCAACGCAAACGCTCTGTGTCATAGGCCCAAAGCCCTTCAGAAACAACGCCATAAAGCATGAACACCAAACTCGACTCCCCTCACCCTAGACCCTGATGCCCTAGAAACCCTGCAAGCGCCTATAAACCTTCATCTCCATGCAAAAGCGTTTGCAAAAGTGCGCAACGATCTGGCCGACTTCCTTGAAGCTTGCTGCGCCGCTGAACAAACACATATTCACGTTGGATGCCAACATCAGTGGCACACCAAAATTGGCCCTGTGCATGCGCTGAAGTGCCGAACAGCAGGTAATCATCTTTTTCACTCTGGCTGGCATCTAAGCACGGGCACCCGCTGTCCTCATCATAGTCCTGTCGTGTGATTTTGGTGGTTATATTGCATTCTGCAACGATGCTTGACAAGGAAAGCAACAGCACTTCCTGAAAGCTCAACAAGCCGGTGGTACAGGAGGCAGCTGGATGCTGATGTCAGCAAGTATCAGCCTGTCTGTTCAGCAGTGGGCCCTAACATGTGCGCAGAATCCTGGCAGTTCAGTGAGAGCGGGCCGGCATTCTTACATATCAAAGACCCAAACTCAACCCCAACTTTTCCGGAGGGTGCTCACCAACAACCCTAAAAGATGACAGCTTGCTTGCTTGTCCCACAGCGGCAGGGTTTAGGGTGTAAGATTAAGGATTTGGACTCTAAGGTTTACGGTTTCGCAACAAAGCGATAGCCACAGAGCACGCTCAAGGTTTGACATGGTTGTTGCATTTGCAGCGAAGCAGATTCTGCAGTTGCGTTATCAACCAAAACAACCTGAAATCCATGAACCCTGAAACCCAGGCTGGGCGCCTAGAGCGTTGAAGAAGTTCTCGCCTCGCGTGCCTGCAAGGCTACAAGCTACGAGCTGCACATGAATCAGCAAAGGTTTAGGATTCAGGGAATAGTGCCCAACCCTCCGGTCAAGCAATCATCAACCTCCCCACCCGCCGGATAATAAATATTCCCATCATGGTATGTGATAGTATACTGGGGGCATTGCTTAGAAGGGGGCGGGGAGGTGAAGTACTAAGGAAACGTGGCTTCTATGGCCACGAGCTCTTAATTTCAGAGGGCCGTTTGTAGCATTGCACCCTGAGGCGTGGACTGATGAAAGAGTGCACGACCTTGTCAATGATCGGATGGTCCTCCCATACACTGAATTTGAAGGGTAGCATGACTCCCACATTCCAAGAGTCAAGCAAGAGGCCGAACATCCTGACGTGGACTGCGCCTTGTGGAGCGCTGAGCAGGCTGTCGTGGGCTTGAGGGAAGGACGGTTTACCTCAGACGAGTGACTCTGAATATGTTGTGCGATTCCACCTAACACCTACCCCGCAAGCGGGGCCCTGTGATATTGCCTTACAGCACAGAGCGAATGAGAGCTGCGCAGCACTTGATCCCAACGAGCACAAACGAGTCGTCCTCAGTGATCACATGAAAAGAAATGGGTTTCTACAAAGGACTTCTGAAACAAGACCACAAGCATTGCTGAGGGCCGCGCGCACTTCGCCCAAGATCAAGACCGCCCATTCAGCAAGATGTGCATCGTCGGAGGGGCCACCTGTGAGCTTTAGGCGGCTGATTTTAAGCCACTTGAACCATCGATGTGTCACCACAGAATGCTCCAACAATCTAGTTCGAATAAATCAGTCTTCTCACTAAGCCTGCGACCGAAAACCGCGGATGGGTAAATTCCATCTTGGGCGTTCTTAACGCCCCACCACCAGCCGCGCCATGTCGCGAGTCCGCGCATGCAGTCGCCCGGATCCACGCTCATCCTGATCCACATCGGAAAGTTGAACGAATAGCTTGCGATGGCTTCGGCTTCCCTAAATCTTATACAAGCACAAACATGTGCTCGACTGAACAACGAAAACGTATCCAAAGCCCATCCTAGCTTCAGCAGGCGGTGAACCCCAGGGTAGGCCGTGTAGCTGGCGATGGCCAGCCGTTCTGCATGAGCATGCAGCTGCCCGCGAGAGAGCGTCTCCAAAACGAGCTGGCCTAGGAAACTCACGAGCGCACGACGATTAATGAGATTTGGCACAACGCAGATCCACTCCAGCAGCAAGCTAGGACCTGGGCGCACAGTTCGCACCACCATGTAGCCTTGCTGGCCGGCTGTGGGATTGGGTGACCCATCTCCTTGTGCGTGCAGGGACTGAAGCTGCAAAACCTTTAGAAAATTTCAAAAACTCAGAACACATGGCAACAAAACGGATCACTTGGCCACACCGCCCCAAAGTGCGAACACCGTACCCTGTTGTTTACGAGACCAAAGGAGGCGACATGAAGCCACACGAAACCAGACGAGACCATACCTAGAGCAGCTCGAACCCCAAAAAAACAGGTTCCAACTTAGAAACCCGGTTATTTACCATGATTTTCAGAAAGCCTGGTTATTCACCAAGAAACCTGGTTTCTATTGGAAGATAGAAAACCCTTTACTTTCCAGTACATCCCACATAAGCCCTGATACATTATTTTCGAAACGCTCCAAAACTGAAAGCATCCCGAAGCATTTCTCTCCACCTTGGGGATACCCGGGGACCCTAAAGCCCCCACAACATGTCGTCCTACGGTGGATACTAAGAGTCCTGCATGACCCTATAAGTATCTTTTACCCGGGGAATGATGGTACTGTAGTATACTAAGGTCATGCAATTTTTTATATATCAACAGTATAACCACCTCCTTTCAAGAAGCCCCGACTACCGTCTGAGGCTGCAAATCATTTGCTGAATTCCAAAGACAGTGTGACGGATTGGGCTTCCAGCTAATTTGATTTTTTGTAAATGTTTTACGAAGCCGGGGAACTGGAAAGGATTCAGGCGCCCGTGTATGTCAGAATGATTTTATGTCACAGAAGCGGTTCGAACTTTTTACTTTTCTTTCGAGTTCTGGAGCTTCATGTAGATTTTGAAGCATTTTTTGTGTTTTTTACGTTTTTTGGTTCGGGGACCCCTGACTACCCGTAAAAAACCGGATTTGACTAGTAAAAACACTAAAATCCAGACCCATTACAACCCGTAAATACTACCTGTAAAAACCCGTCTTCTGACCTCGTGCCAAAAAAACAGGTTTTGAAAAACACGTAAAAACCCGTAAAGAAACCGTTAAAAAAAAAAAAAACATGTAAAAACACTGTAAAAACCCATATTTACAATATGGTTTTTTACTAGTAAATCTCAAGCGCATTTCTGCTCACTCTTGATGGGCAACAGATGACGATCGTCACCGTCTACAGGTGCATATGTCACCGCGGGATTACTCACGCCACTTGCAAGCCCAAAGCCTAAAGCCTTATCAGCCCTATCTTTGCAAAGGTCTGAACGTCCGAAGCCCAAAGCCTTAACCCCTGACCCATTGATGCCCCGTTGAACCCTAAATCATGCACCGTGTACAACGGAGCGCTACATGAGCTATAGTCTACACTCCAGCAAGGGTGGTTATATGGGGGATCATACATAATGGAATATGATATTGAATGTAAATAGGGGTTGCTAAGGCGGATACTAGGGGCTTAGACTCTAGTTCATATGAGAAAAGGTGGCGCAATCGACAATCATGTGATGATTCGCTCTCCCCTTACCAAGTTGTCCTACGTAGTGGGGTCTGCTTATGTACTTCCCATCTAAGACTTATCTCCAAGAACATGTCATGATATGGTCCACTCAAATGCTGGGTTTTTAAGCAAATTGCCAAAACCAGGTTTTCAGATCATAAAACCCGGTTCTTTCCCAACACCTGTTTTTTTTTAGGTTCGGGTTTCTCTAGGTATGAGAGCGAATCCCTTTTAACGGGTCTGTCTTTGCAGCGAGGCTGCCAAAAACGGTCGAAGGGAAGATGCCCTCCTGCTCTTCGATGGAGCCACAGACCTTTCAGAGACTCTCCACGGCACAGTTTTCCCAGATGCTATCAGCTCACGGACGGCCTTCCATCCCCAGCACCAGCCATTCCAAGCTGAGTATGTGCCCACTAACTGGCGCTCACGAATCGTCATCCTTGATCCGGGCTGCGTACGCACACGGCCAGGCATTACAAAACTTCAAACACTGTGTGCTGCACAAGTGTCTCGGGTGGGCATCGGCCATGGAACTCGGCTTTGGCACTCTGCGTAGAGTTCATGGCCGGGGCACGCACTTCAATCTCCACCTGGTATGGCTTGAGTAAGTTGGCTCGCTGATGGGGACAAATGTCGGATTCCTGCACCCTGCCTGATCTGTGAGAGCTCGGGGTCGGGGTCGGCGCACCTGCAGGATACGCGCTGTGTGGACCCGGATCTCCCAAAGCATGCACAGCCAGCCACTTCAGATGTCGCAGCCACTTGTCATTCCGAGACCCTGGCAGTAGGCTGGGCAGGCACTGCTTTCAGTCTGCCCAAAAGCTCCTGGCCACAACAAAAAAACAGAACACAGCTCCATGTCACAGCTGACGGTGGCTAACCAACGTTAGCGGCTACAATAGCGAGCCTGGATCTCTCCGCCGAACGCCTCACACGCGAACACAGAGAGAGAGAGAGAGAGAGAGAGAGCACGCCAAACGCTGACTTAAAGAAATCTTCAAAGATTCTGCAACCCGTGGGCTGCACAATGAGGCAGCGGCCCGCCACGCGGAGACTGCAGTAGCCACGACAGGCGGAGACAGCAACCCCTTCCATGTGCTCAGCAATTCTGCGCAAACATTCAACCGATGCCAAGCGAAGCCCAGTAGCAATCCACTGCGCTACTGCCGCCAACGTGGAACTCTGCGCGGCGCCGCCTCAAGAAAGCTGCAGATCCTCTAGTAGGGCGCTTCGCAACCACCCTGCATGCATGCCTATGTCTGTTGAAAGGGCGCCTGCAGCAACTGCGACCCCCAGCTCGAGAGCCACCATGATGATTGCTGTGAGTCTGAATGCTAGATGACTCTTACAGGGTGTTGTATTTGGCATCCATTCCGTTGCATGCCTGAACTGCTGCCTGCTGCAGCTGCTTTGCATCTACCTTTATTTGAGGCACATGGGGCAGGCGTAGCTTGGGTAGACCCACCTGAAGTACAACAAAGCTGCAAATAGACGTTGGCGCGCCCTCAACCGACATCCTATGACATATTTTGTTGCACGAAGTGTGGAAGTCTGCACCATCAATGTCGCCAGCGATTTAGTCTTACTCCCTGTCCTTCTCAAACCCTAGATCCCCAGCCCTGAAGAACCGAGCCTTTGAGCACAATGCCCTTGCTGTCCCTACTTACGTCTTTTTCCAGCTTGACCAAAGTATAAGCAGCAGCAGGCACTGCAACTGACAAGGCATATCCTGGCTTCGTCTAGCCTGTTCTAAGTCTGTCACCCTTAAAAACTCCCTAGCTTAAGGTGTACCATTTTTGAGGTGTACGGCTTAGGGTTAAAGGTTTTGGGCTTAGGGTTCAGTATGTAGGCTTTGAGGTTCATCGTTGGGAGGTTAGGGCTAGGCCTTCGAGCTTAGAGCATTGGATTCATGAGGAAAAGGCTGCTATCTTACCACGTAAGCCTGGACCCCAAACCATGGCCATAGATCCCTATTTGTATATTGAAATGCCACACGCAGCGGCAAGCAAGGAAAAGCAAACAGAAACAAATCACGCAGTAATCTAGATGAATGACTGAAAATCCCAAATGCCCTGTTTCTATTGCTCAGCAGATGAACGGCACTTCCTCCAGTGCCTGTTCTGGAGGTTTGCCCCCTGTTTTAAGAAGGTCCAGGCGATTAGCCGCTATTGCTGGGTACTGTACCTACAACCCGACGCCCATCTACTGGTTCCGCGCTGGGATACTGTCGAAAATCTAAACCCACATTGTTTATGGACCCAACGCCCGCAAGCCAAAAACACACAAACTTTTTTCGCTCGTCTCATGGCATCAGCACACCGGTCCCATAAGGGGCGGCAGCTCTCAGAAGAGCCGCAACTGAGAGCCTGCGTGGGGACGCGTGCTAATGAATTATATGATTATTATCATGTTCAAAATTCTTAGGATTGTGTACCGGCTACTTCTTGGAATGGGGGCTCAAGGCTTAAGAGTAGACTTGTAAAGCTAAAGCCAGATTGTGTGTGGTAAATGCATGCTATTTGTCAGGGGAAGTATACAGCAAGATATTGCAACTTGTTGCGTGGGATATGTCATAGGGCATGTGTGAGGACTACATGGGGCACTTCTAGATTGCCTTCTAGAGAGAGTACTAGCGGCTGGATTCCAAAACTTGATCAGTCAGCACCTCGGAATCGTATGGTTGTGAATTAGGCAGCGCTTCACTGGCACTGTACAGAACCATAGAAGGAGTGTCTACGCGCGATCTCGAGATAATGAGGACTTTCGGGAAGCTGCGGGTAGTTTTGGGATGCGTGTAACCTGTGTGTAGACAGGCTGGTAGCTTTCGGGTGGGAAGCTGTAGGTTTTGCGACGCGAACTCAAGAGAGACGTCTTCTTACAAGAGTCCTCAACACAGAACTCCTGCAAGGACGAGGGAAACTTGCGACTGCCATTTCCAATCACTGCTGTAATAGCCAAGCCTCAAGAAACAGCAACATGCTCTTGATTCTTGACGTTGTTCCTTGCACAGCATACCGTACAACTACCGACCGCCGAGCACCTTGGAACCCTCTCCTGATCCCATGCCTTGGAATGTGCCCTAAACCAAAAACCCTAAGGGTCCAAGGACCCAAATAAGAGGGTTTTAGGGCCCAAATACTATGACATTAATGGTATTTGGGCCCAAAACCCTATTATTTGGGTCCTTGGACCCTTAGGGAAAACCCTCAACTTTGCCCGCCGCACTTTTTCAGCTTCGCAGCTCCTCACTACAATGAGTCTCTGTCAGCATTGAGAAGTTCCAAGGGAAGGTGGGCAGGCTTGCCTGAACACGGCAAAGCGCGTGGTCCTACACCTTGAATCGATCCTAATGTAGGGCATGTACTTCGTGCCATAAAGCATCAAAAGCTTGAGCCTGGATACAAAACGAACAAACTGTCTAGGCTTATGTAGCTTGCCC